TACTATTTTTTTCAACTGAAAGTGAAGGTAGGGCATATCCAACCGTTATAGTTATTTTACGTTCATGGAAGTTTAGTATGTTTTTTTTTTTTTAATATTTCGAAAGCTATCGTAACGCACGGTGAATATAATTATAATAACTTGAAGTAATCACTCGTTGATTCACATCGAAAGTGAATAATTGGCAAAAAATTAATTTGCAGTTTTAATACGTAACTTTTTTTTCAAAAAGATGTTTCTACTGTGCTTTTTTTTTAGAATTTTAATTAGAAAACTAACATTGCTGACTCGCACAAAATTATGTGTAACGTGCATTGCTTAGTAAGACCGCTATAATATCGAGGCACAATATGGTGGGACAAACACAACCGGTTTTATTTCTTTCAATCGAGAGAAAAAAGCAGTATAATGACGGGCAAGTATACGAGAACTTGCAAATACTACAAGAAACAAAGTGATCTTGAACCAAAGCCATAGATCGAATCAAGTAGTGAGCTTTGTAGTGTATTGTGGATCACTTTACCGTCGTACACAGTACGTTCTAGCGTAACTAATCTTATATTTCATATATATTGAAGGACATCGGACTGCTATAGTAAAACGCAGCAAGACAACACCGCTGGATAATTCGGAAAAAGGTCTGAATGAATTGTAAAAAATGATCCTCAATGGTGACACCCCTTCTAATTCAAGGCCTGGGTTCAAGTAGCTAAAGAGCCTAAAGAGAGTAAACACTTGTGCCGACTGTCGGCACAATTCGATCATCGGTAAGGGTATGCGATTAGGGCGACGTGTCAGAGCTGTGACGCACTGGGCAACTTTATGAAAATAAGGAAGGAACAAGCACATCATTAAGTGCTAATTGGCAACTTCATCGTAACGGTATCACTGGCACCTTGTTTTCGTCACGAAGACAATGAGCCAAACGACAATTAATGGGTAGTCACCTGATCGGAACAATTTGCATCATATCATATATTCAAAATAGGCTGGAAACATCACTGCATACAAACCCATCCCTAGAGCCATCGTCTAAAGAGTTTACCGTTCGTAGATGTTTTCCTTACAACAATATCTTTAGCCATATGGGTTTAGTTAAAACCTTATTTTTTAGGCCCGCTTGATCCTTTGTCCCGTTGTCGTGACAGTACCGTGGAAACAATTGGACACGCATCACGCCCATATGATGATATAAATCTGACAAGCCAATTTATAACACCTCGTTAAGCCTGGTCTCCTTACAGCTATCGCCTGAAAGACCCACCTCGTCTTCTAGGGCTTCCGACAGTTTGCCGAAGCGCAGTTAGATCGCTACTATTGCCACTTGCCATTAATATGAGCGATAGAGCCTGGAAAAGAGGTCTAACAGGATATTAACAAGAACTCAGCTACAGGAGAAAATGGTGTTCAGTGTCCCAGTTAGTCTTAGTATTTCCAAATAAATTTTGCTTATATTATTTTTTTTTACAAAGCTAAGATGACCTCTTACATAGCACAGCGACAACATAGCCCGTCCACCCGTGACGTCGTTAATTAATTAATTCGCAACAATAACTGAAAGGTTACAAGATTTTTTTGTTTAGCATTAAGCAGCTAACTTTTGCTTGTCTCCACGCTCGGAGCGACTGGATATGTACGCGTTTCGAACCTACTAGGTAGGGTTTACACAGCGACAGGTAAAAGCCCGCACGCATTTCCACTGAGGTTCCCGATGGTCGCATGCAACGGATTCATTTCCGTAAAGCATGACATTTAGGTTCGTATGTTGATTGACCGTCCGGAAAATGCATGAAAATGAACCCCTGGACATTCAATTGAAAATGAAGTGTTACTCAAGCTGTTCTCTAGTGGCACAGTTGTGTCGAACGCGTTGAAATGAGGCTCGGAGTGAACGCGATTTATCTGGCAGCAGATGCCACTGAACGTTCGACGACACATCTTTGTCGTGTTCGCCGTAGGCTGAGTAGCTATCGTTGTTTGCTATGGCACTTCCCCGCTGCGAGAATAAAGACTGCTCCTCTTTTGTAACAAAAACCCCGTTTCCAGTAGTCGCTTTTATTGACAAACAATGTAGTGCCGGAAGGTTATCGCAATGTCCCCGTGGCACGGTCGTTAATTGAAAAGCTTTACTTTTGTATAGACGTAGACGAATATAAGAAAGTTATCATTTATATGCTGTAACTTTTTTTTATCTCTTGCTCAAATAGATAGATGCGACTTGTCGGCCCTAACGAACTTCTACTTCATAAGCATTCGTTAACAACGGCATGTTTTCCTATTGCGCTCTTCTCGCCCCCCGAAGTATAATGGCCAGTGAACAGTAAACAAGAATCTCGACGAATGCAAAAAATATCCGATTGCTACTGTAATTACTGCGAATACAATCTCTAATATTCTCCTTGTTGCTCATATATCTTCTGGCGCACACAACGCCCAGTCAGCGGAACCAGTGGCAGTCGAGGCAGCCCTTATTGGCCTATGCCGCTAGCCTAATAGGTCTAATTCTTGGTAGTTGCATCGGCGAAGTGAAGGCAAACGCACGTCTCGGGGCAAACCAAATGGGCCCGTTCCCTCATTGGCTCTAGCACCAGAGCGCCCACTCGGCGGCATTCCGACGGCCGAAGAGGACCAAGCCCACAGCCAGCGGCTCATCACAGATAGGTTTCCTCTAGTTTCTGCCATATTATTTCAGCTTTCCCCCTATATTTGTTGCAGCCGTAGAGATCGAGTCGGTAGCTGCCTTCTCGCCGCATACCGCCGCCGTAGCTCTTGTCTAGCTAACTATACATATAGGCACCACGCTTGTGACTAGGGCTGGTTTAGGTTTTGACTTTGAGCGAGAGACTGTTCTAGAGCGAGAGGACAACAGCTAACAACACAACCCTTGTTCATGATACCACCAGAAACAGCAACAACAGCAACTACAGTAAAGGTGATATAGCAATGGCTTACCAAGACTTTGTTGGCTTGGCCGCGTATCCATGTGAACCGACAAGCTATCGCGTGAATCAACCACCAAAACGCCGCCAATGCTGCGTCTGGCTACTACTATTATAGGAAGCGCGCGCGGCCAGTATCACTGCGGTTTTGTACGACGGATGACCCTCTATCTACTGACGACAGCGCATATGTTGTACCTCAGTACACAGTACATATATGTATATAGGATATACAATGCCATTTTCCTCCGATTGCAAACGAATTCTACAGTGCAGCAGAAATGATTGCTGTAAAGCGATGCTGGGAAATTGTACTCTACATATGATACGATGCAGCTTGTGAATGCAGGCATCGGATGACGTTTCTCCATGTTGCTTGTTGCAACATGTAATAGCAGTAGTGGGACGTTCGCTCACGTCTGGGAAATCGCATTTCTAAGAGGAATACAGTGTTACAGTAACCACCTGCGGTAGACAAGGGCGCAGGGGGTTGTTTTGTATGATAACTGCGAAAGATACGCTAACGCAAAGATCGGCCGGAGAACACAGACTATCGATTTGTCCTTCAAATCTCATAATACCGCCGCCCGTGGGTTAAAGGGGTTTGCTCATCGTGGACCATAATGAAACCTGATCGAAGCTCTGGTGGCAATGCAAGCGTGCATGGCAATACAGAATATATTTCTATTCATTATCATTGCCGCCATCGTCAGCGTCGTATGAACGAGTTAATGGCGATTCAACTGGTCATGCAATCCATATCTGGGCAGCAAGTATACATCGTCTACGAGAGCTCGAAGAGCAATACTTAGTGAAGGCCATTGGAGTAATGACGCTTTCATCAAACATACGTTCGAATTACTGCCGGTCGTATCAAATAAAGCGCACAATTCGTAGCCCAGTTAGGCTATTGGTCTGCCCGCTCCGTACATAATAATGTTGTGATCCGGCTAAAGCCACGTTAATGTTCGATACGTAATGTCATTGCAGGTTTGAAAAAAAGGGCTGTACAGCGCTATTGGTTGCCAAAAGATTACGACAGATAAGGCGGTCAGCCTAGACGGTTTCGAACGAGTTGGAAACGTGACAGCTGAAACTATACTTTCGAATCTACTGCAGAACCATTTCTCTAATGCCTCAATTGAACGCTACACATAAGCTATGAACGATTGATTCGGACGCACACAAAGCACGCTCTGTATCACGCATCACGAACCATCTCGTCGCTGTGGACTGCCATTGATGGTTTTCTCCTATTAAATTAATATTTATTCCTTATGCTATGCAGCCTCGTAAATGCTGAGGGCAGCTGATACCTGCGTGATAGGATGCTAGCCTGTCGCGATGTTATTGGTAAATTTGTAAACATTTGGTGGTCTATAGACTGGCAGGTAAGGGCAAGACGATGTGCTCGTTGAAGTCGGTAACAGCGCAAATTATTAAACTGACGCTAGTAAAAGCATCATTTTCAGACCATAAAAGCTATTTCACATTATTGGAAAGTGGAACTTCTTTTTCTCTAGAAAATCAACGATCGACAGGTGACTCAGCAGTCGAATCCCAACACATTTCTTGCACCACGGAACATCTCTGCATTCTGAAGAGGGGCTAGCCAACCGGTTGAGTTCGTGTAAAATCTCGAATTTTTATTATTCTGGATATATAAAAAAAAAAAATAGCAAGACTACCGCGGGTAAATTCTAACTGATGAACAATAATGGTTGATAACAATTATTGACTTCACAAGAACGTCGAGAAAGTAACAGCTCGCTATAGGGTCGTTACATCAGAGAAGTCTAGCACTTGGGTAATAATCTTGAAGTGTTTATGAGTGATAAAACCAATAAAACTACGCCTTTTTAGTAGAAATAGATAAATAGATGCATGGAGACTGATTGTCATAGACCAGCCTTATTGTCCTTAGACAGTTTGCGTAAGCCTTAAGTATTACTGAGATTGTCCTCTATTAAGCATATCGTCTCAGGCGTATCCGGCGTGTTTTGTGCTGCTGGAGTCGCTATTACAAGATTGCCTACTACGCCATCCTATATAGATACTGACCTTGCGTTGCTGCCTTTCCCACGCCGGGTCAAGCAGTCCTTCGCGTTCCCATTCCTCCTCCTGTTGCATGTATCGTTCCTGGGTCATCATCGTGCAGCCGTCCACCGGCCGTTCCAAGTACAAGGAACCGCGTCAATAACGATGCCACACGCCAACAAACTGAACTGCACTACAACTGGGTTTGTGTTGTGGCCTGGCTGGAACAACCCCGACCAGCTCCACAGACTTTCAGCCAGCAGCAAGAGACGACAGACTATCGCGTTCGTAAGCGACGACCGCCTCGCCGCCACTTTCAGCAGAGCTTTACGAGTGATTTCCGCCTCGCGAGGGCAAGAACTCCTCGGTCTCAGGAGGCAGACAAGGCCTTTAGCCGCAACTCGGGCTTGCTTGCTTGCTTGCCTAAAAATTTGCTGCTATTTAAACTGGAGGTTTGGCTCGCTTTGCTGTGCGCTTGGCCGGTTGGTGTTTCCTACCACCACCGAGAGATTCGCGGCACGATCTGCTCTTGAACGACGGAGACGACGACGACGACGATGGCGGCGGCGGCGGCGGCGGCGGCGGAGGCAACAGCAGGGTCTAACTCGACTCGAGCGATGTCGTTTGTTCTGGCCTGGCCGTTCTGGCCGAACCTAGCCACCGGTCAGAGAACGAAGAAGCTAATGCTATTTGACCGAGCGATGCCCAACCCAGTAATGGTAAGCACACATGCACATACACGGCTACGACGGACACGAATACTCTCGCACAGAGATGCGCTCTGATCGAACTGCTGAGCGAGGATAGACACCAGCAGCGCCGTGCTGTGCTATGTCTCTTTCTATTTCGTTACTGTTTGGGCCGACGCGAGAAAATGCCGACGCGCTGCCCCCTGGTAGCGACCCGCGGTCGCGCACGCCTGCCCGACGCCCAGCGAAAACGAGGCAAGCGGGAAAGTGTTGTGGGATTGGGACCTACCGAGCAGGTCTAGGAAGACGATATTTCTGCCTTCCTTTGCCCTCCGCTGCTGATACTGTTACTGCCCTCTGATCAACTAAAGCAGTTAAGAAAAACAACAAACACACGTTACACCGTTGCTTGTAACACCTCCGGCAATGACAGTATTTAGCAGTGCAGCGACAGGCGTTACGTACTGTCAATGGTGCTTGTGGTATCGTTGTTTGTTCGCTCACAGTAGTGATGACGTCCTGTAACACGCCGGGCTGAACGCTGGTCCCGGTGCCCCGTGTCTGGTAACTTTTTTCGTATCGAATAACGCTACTCAGCAGTAAAGGTCTCCCTATAATACGCCGACTAGTCCAATTCTATAAGAGCCTTCTGGTTTCAGCTCAAACTGTCGCAAACCAGATCGCAAGCAATTGTCCGCCGATAATTCCCGTTCCAGGACGTATGCACAAGATCGACGACACGCCGATGATTAACAAAGAGAACGTGGCGATGGCGAAATCATGAGGCGCTTTGTGAGTGCGTCCAGTTCTCTGGGTTCGCCTGTAGTCACTTAGCTTCCCTAAAGAATCGCCCCTGTGTCTGTTATTCAATCGTGCTCTTTAGCGGTCGGCGTTGTCATCGACCCTATCGATTCTTGCATTTTCCACACACGTCGTGTCAGTTAATGGACGCAGGAGAATTATGGCACGAACTACAAATCGATGGATGCTTTGTTTGCAAGTCCAGCCCTTGACGTTACATACAGACAGTATTAAAACGACTGCTTTGAACGAAGACCACAAGCAGCCGCCGGCTACATTCTCCGAAACTGATAGCGTTGTAACGATGTCGCTCCGATCATGAAAAGGAAGGTATCACATGCAGTGTAGACCGTCTTGCTTCACATTCGGGTATGATACGCGCATAGCCTGTTCCCGGAAAAATATCCCTTGTGCTCCTCGCAATTTTTGATGATATGAAATAGGCTTATGAACGGCCTTTTCGTGTTTACCTCAGAGTCTCTCAAGTTCCCTGTGATGAAGTTCTCTCCACGCCGCTATCATAACAATCTTCCGAACGGCTTCACTCCGCGCTGCATTCAAGCGAGTCGGAATATTTTTTCGAGAGATTTCTGCTACGATTCGTTCTACTGTTCAACAACAATTTTCACTGACACACTCCATATTATTCCCGATCGCGTTATTAGCTTTATCCTTTAAGAAACTAGTCACAGGCGAGCTTCACCACTTGATCGTAAACGTCGTTCCTGAACGGAGGCCGTTCACTCACAACTGATCTCAACGATGGTTACTGCAATCCCGTTCTAGTCAAGCTTAAACGAACTAAGCACCACTATACGCAGCAAGCGCCGGCTCGCGTTCAGAAGCGCATACACAATGTAGGCGAATCGTTGTCTGATCGTTCTCCTTCACCATTTGATCCGGTCACTACGACTACAGCCAGAGCGACGACAACTACAACAGCAGTGGCTTCTTGTAGGTGCCGCCTACCAAGACCATCACCATTACCGCTGGCGCGACTCCACTTCTATACTGTGCACCGCCGGTAAGACAGCCGCTATTCCTGCGCTTTCCGCGCCAGATTCTCTTGACTACTTCTTGATCGGACAGACAGCAGTAGCCGCAACAGCAACAGCAAGACGGACTTATACCAATAGCTTTTGTTGGTTAAATCCAAACAATAAAGAAGTAAGCAGTTACCGGCGACAATAGCTACACAGCAGCAGCGATAGCAGCATTCAGCGACCCGCCACAAAGCGCCGGCTGTCAGCTGAAGTCCGCTCTCCTCACCCGACAAGCGTCAGAGAGGGTACAGCACTACAGTGTCCAAGGGAGGGAGCAGCGTCAGACGCAGCCATAGCGGCGGCGGCGGCGGCGGCGGCGGCGACGGCGGCGGCGGCAGTAGCGGCGGAGCAGGCAGCACCAAGAGCAGTTGTGGCTGAACGAACAAGAGCGACGAGGTGAGGCTCAATAAGCGGCCACAGCAATATTAAGGTGCGCTATAGTCGAAACAGCCGGGTTAACGAGACGAAACAGCAGAATGATGGCAAATTAGGAACACATTTGATCGCGACATCAGGCAAGGCAGTTGTAATGAAGGGCTTGTTAAAGGTTGTCTGTTATCGATTCATTATCGTGCTTAATGCAGCATTAGTCAACCGACGGCACCATTGTACAATTACATGATGTAAGATAAAAATATGGGTTTACGTAGAGTGAGCGTGTTCTATATGGCGATTTCGACACCTTAGAAATACGCTTTCAGAATCGGAATGCGCGTTGCGGATCGATATAGGCCCGAATATAGTAACTTTGTCATCGCACGATAAAACCACATACCATCACGATCATTATGCCTAAAGTATCAGCGTAATATAGAGCGGCATGGCATGTGTAACCAATGTTTATTTATTGCGGTTCATTGTGGATCAATTCGCCGATGACTGACTCATCGCTGACAAGTAACGCTCTGCCTTCGATATATGCAGACCTTTTTTGGTAAAACAAATTACATCCTTTCGATACAACCTTCGATGTGTAAGGCAATGACATTAAAAGTACTCTGGATACTGACATATTATGTAGATATGCTTATTCTTAACAGGAACGATGCCAGCCGGTTCAGCAATTAGTGCCGACGACCCACCGATGGGGGAAGGCTTTAGCCGCACCCCCTTCGAAGCCGACACCCCACTCAACACTCGACGACTCAGCTGAGAGTCAATGGTGGAGAGGGCGAGTGTGAAACGAAGGCTTTGAAAAAAAAGCGACAAGCGAGAAGGAATAAAAACGTGAAAAGTAACACAGTAAAGAATATCGTTGGTTGCTGGTGTCCAACAAACGCTTCAGCACGTGCGAAGGGTACAGCAGATAGTTTCAGGGGTTTACAAGCCGACCCGGGTTGACAAAAACTGCCTGGCTCTGGATATGCTTCTAAGCTAAGAGAAAAGAAATCGATAGAGCGTGTAAAATAGCGTAGATCCTTTGAAACTTAACGTCTTAAGCTTTGATCGTCACACAGGGATGTGACAGATATGCAGGACAAATGTTAGATCTGTCTCAGTAACTTGCTTTTGCAGCGAGACGTACAAACTCGTAGAAGCTCACTGCTCGCAGTCTACCAAGAGGCATTTAGATAGTTATACAAGCCAACTATGCTTGCGGACGTCAGAATGCGCACGCTGTTTCTAAGCGCCTGACCTTTTTTACGAACGGACCAAATAGGCGATGAACTGAATATAACGACAATCCTCGCGTTTGTTAGTACAATCATAGACGGTTAAAGCACATCGTCTACGAGCAGCTCTGCATATTAAAAATTACGCCATCGGAGTAGTCATGGCATAAATACGGACTTCGATAGCTGTTGTTTAGCACTTAACACCAGTAAATCACTTATCTAGAAGTTAGCAATTAAGAAAAACTTGTGACCTTTTTTGAAAATAACGAAACTAACGTTGCAAAGATAGGCAGCAAACAGGATGACAACTATTAATAGGCAGCCAGCGCGCCACCACTAGCTGGACTCGATTATTGATTCAGGCTATTTCTTATCCGGCCGACGTAACTGAATGTATCGCACGTTGACTGTTTCCGACTGCATGAGTTGGTGCATCTCCCAAAAATCAGAAGCACAGTGCCCGTGAAAAACCATTTCTTAGCAAATCATTTGGAAACGTTTTGGATAGTGAGAAAATGATCAGTGATACTGAATTCGGTTGAACCCATATATAAGAACCATAAGAGTTATAGTCGTTGGCTTTCAACAGTCGGATAAAGTTTAAATTTTGGTTGGCATCTGCCCCGTGATGCCCAGTGTGTGTGTGCGTACATAACTTAGGGACATGTGAAATGGTCTAAGTTCAGGAGTGGGTGCGCTTCGTTTAACGCTACTGGAAGGGCTAGCACTCTGAAGAATTACTGAACTAGGACAATACTGGTTCGTAAGCATGTAGATTGGCAATAGCAATTCGGTATCTATAATAATAATAAAAGTAAGTGGTGATAAAATCGAACCGTTTACACTATGGTTATTGTCTAGATATTGCCAGAGAACGACCGGGGCATGCAGGTATCGTTCGCTACTGTATTACAAGATTCCCTCTTCTCAGTTGTAGTTTCGCGGTTCAACGGACATTTCACAGAAACAGGATAAAGGTAAAAGTCCGATAACAAACACCGAAAAAGTGGAAACAGACAAATATGAAAAAAGTCTCTGGCCTTGTCTGTGATTTAACACACGGGTCCGATTTGACATTTTGGGACGTAAACGTATATTTATCGTTTATACGTTTCAGATAATACCGCAGATGCACGTAAAAGTATCAATAATAGTCTAGTTCTATCGATTACTGTTGAAATCGACTGCATAAAATGATGTTTTTTTTTAAAGATTCTTCAAAGACATTTATCTATGGCTAATTTGCATTGGGAAACCGTCAAAAATGTCCTAAGTAAATGAACTAGTTATGACACGCTATTCGGATTCGCAAACCATCCATTACATTTCGTCGGTAATAGAAAATTCTCAAATTAGCAACACTTAAACATTGTCCATTATCGTTCTCTCAAGAAAATATCTTGCGACACAGAGAAGATGATGACCATGACGCCAGATCTTTAGAAAGGCATAACTTGGTCGGGAGAGGTGTTTCCTACGACAGAAAAAAAGTAGACTTCATAATAATGCTGCCAGAAGGACATACGGAATCAATTGCAAGGCTATGGGCCTTCACGGCTTCTGTGCGAGTAAGAAATAAAGAGGACCCAAAGCTATCGCTTGTGATGTACTGAAAGCCTCAAGTTAGCCAAAAAAAAAAAATTAAATCTTGATGTTACTGCAGTGCCGACGAACCATGTACACTCAAATAAGAAATAATAAAGAGTGCTCTGTGTTAGATTACAAGGGAAACGTTAATGTTGAATTTGCAAGCGTAACCGGAACGCGTCTTATTTTCCGTAGTCTCGTATTATTATAAACAAATGAGTGAATTAAACTTATTAGTACCGTTAGCCGTGCATTTTTCCAGCGTGAAAACACTTTGTGCCAATATTACTAATAGTAATAATAATACCCTTTGCGGAAACGCCGAGACAAAAGCACTTACGATTTGCATGTCCTTAGACCTAATACAGGTGAGAACCAGTAAGTAATAAGCTCCGCTTAGCTGATGTCAAACCATGAAGTTTTACGAGCCTTACTATTAATATATTCGAATGTTTAAATTTCTGAATCGCTTAAGACCATCAAAGGAAATAAAACGTGGCAATAGGCAAGTACTGGATCCTTCTGCTAAACCTTGAAACACCAATACTTGACTCATCCCTGGCAGCGTTTACCAATTTAACAAACGCTACTCTATTCAAAAGATCACTTACTGACCGACATTCGGCTGTAGGCGTACAGGGTGGCAACTCCTATAAATTTGCCCTTGAAGAAAAAACAAGCATACATATCGTTATTACTCAAACACTGGCAAAAGGTGAGATTTTGTAATCAATAACAAACAAGTTTAAAGTTGATTGCTAAGCTTTAGTATGAACGATGTCTGATCTACTGGCAAGCGTCAGGTTGACGACTAGAATTCGAATCACTTAACTGAAGATACGCTGGAACTATCAATGAAAATTACTTCCTCAGCGTCGACTGAAGAGAGTTCGAGAAGCCCTATTCAATCTATTGGAACTGTCTGAACTTGATTGTATACTGAATAAGTATATATAGGCAAGGCACGGATGTGACTTAGCACAATGAGATTCGACTTAAATTTCCGTCTATGTTAGGAATCATTTCATGTACTTTCTGGTGGATTGTTTCGAAAACAGTATAACAAACACAGTAAATAATGACAGTACTTCTAAAGGCGAAGACTGCCTGGTCAGAGTAGAAATAAAAATGGCACACTGCACTAAAGCCATGTACACAAAGGGGGCACTGAGAAGCGGCTTAGCTTACTTAATTGCCTTCGGACTTCAAAGGGGAAAGCTGCTAAACCCAATGTGCATTTTCGATTAGTACTACTGAATCGTTTTGAACAACGCCTATCGACAAATGTAAGCAATGGCATATGTATATTATCTCTGTCTGACTCCTGTATATGAAGATGATGATATTGTTAGAGATTCTCTCTGTTTTGGCGACGCCACAGCTGGTTGAGTAGTAATTTACGAGATCAATTAAGTTTTACTTTGGACTTTAATTGTTAAAGATGGAGAGTGTGGGTTAAACTTCTCCTCTAAGCAACATTGTGGGTAGGCATCGCAGAAAAATATGCGGCGTGCCGCCGTAGATTTGGTCTCGCAGTTCAGCAAGTGCTTGGCTTAATTAAACTCTAATTCTAAATAGTGTTAGCATAGTCCCAACGCTTGAAAAGAAGGGAAAAGGGACCCGGGTTTTTCAAGTTGTTGAATCTCACACTGGGCACTTTCAACAGCCGTGCACACAACTCTTACGCATTTCGACAACATTATACAGTAGACATCCATTTCGAAATGACTTTTTTACATTTCTAGATACTCATATCATAAGCATTTATGCCCGTATGATTTTGTTGCCTTACAATAAAGGTGTTTAGTGAAAAGTGACGCTCTCGCCTATCTAGCAAGTGACATTGTTACGCGATGTCCGTAAGCTTCATCGTGCAGAAATTGTAAATTGCACGTACAGGTCCCTTCGCAAATGATTTAAATATATATGGTAAGTTAATACACACTTGCCACCTGTCAAACGCTAAAAGCAACAATCATTATTCACTCGGTTTTGATTGCCATTTCTTCGCGCATGTGACCGGCATCCGAAGACTTTCTAGGGTCGCTCCTTTGTCTCGTCGCTCAATTCAAACATTCGCGCGTTTCGGCGCGCGCCGTGTCAACTGTCTGTTAGCAGCAAACCATTCGGTGGCCTTTAAGCGAAAACGAAAAAAGTAAACAGAAGGGTTACGACGCCTGCAATGAGGCAACAGCACCATCAACAGTGCAGAAAAGGTGCTCGGCCGCTGTTATGTGGGGCTCAACTTAAAGGAGTGATGCTGGCTAGGGTAATTTTGTCGTAGCAGCCTTCGCTAATTATAAGCACGAACACAAGCTCCAGTGGCCGGACAGTGAACCAACAAAGCCCCAGTGAGGAGTGCTGCTCACAGTGCACTTATAGGAACAGCCTTAGCTAGGTGGAGCGGGTACCCGTAGGTTTCCTGCAACAGCCGCAGTTGTCAGCTAATGCCAACAAGTTACTTGATCGGTTTGTTAAGCAGCGTACTTTCGTTCGGCCTCATCAGTTCGGTATGCTGTGTTTCATTGGCGCATTTGGGTAATGGTGCCATTGATAGTGAAGTGCATGTGGCGATGTCGACACGTTGAGACTACATATAGTCCACATGGATTAGGTTGAATGTGCGAGACAGAAGCTTCGTCGAAAAATAAAACCTGTTGGCCTTCCGAGCGTGGTAAGTTTCGCCAGAAAGAAGTCGTGCCAGAAGCAATTGCTTTTTGATATTCTATTTTATCGTCATTATCAGTACCATTGTCGTTCCGTTAAAATTACATTGTTCTGAAGCCGAAGCCATGGTTAGCTTTGTTGTATTTTTATTAGATAAGAGAACCGAAAAGCATGTGTGGAATCTTTTAGTGTTTTCATAATTATTATATATATATATGTCGTTATTTTCATCATGCAGTTGGGTACTTCGCGAGTGTTTCCCCTGGTGGTCCCTAATTGAAGTAGTCTGCTAATTTAGACGTGCGGTATCACGGTTCTGGGTAGAGATAGAGCCGTCAGTGATGTAAACGTATAGATTTCTAAACGGATTTTCTTGTAGTGTAGGAATAGTTTAGTCTAATAACCGCACCACACTCTTTTATGCTGCACTTTCTATTGTAAATCTGGTAATTGGGACTAGTGCGCGGTCTATCTGGCCCTTAGTATTTGTTCCAAGTACGGCATTTATGGGGTTTAGAGCATGTGATTGGCAAAACTGCGAAGTTGTTTTAGTACTGAAGCAATGTTAAATACAGTGCCAAACAACGGGTCGATGTCACACTGGTTAACAATATACAATGCCCACTGAGCGTGTGTAGCTTGTAATCGTATAATTATTAGTGTGTTGCCTGCACAACATTGCCTTTCAAGAAAAGTTCAATTATTATAAGTTTATGAAGAAATTTTGTAGAATCGATCTAGGTGTCTATTGCGGTTGTACTGGGCAGCTTCAGCCGGAATTTTCTAACTGTAACAACACCTATTAAATGTATACATTCCTGTATTCCTAATCGTGCGTTGGTAATTATTTGAATGAACTACTTTAACTAGAAGATTAATATTGTAATCATTATTACAGGCACAGACGCAGCCTCAGCCAAGAAGTTGCTTTTGGCAGCTAGGCTTTATTTTTAATATTGGCCACATGAGCCGCAGAAAGAACGATCTGTTCATCCCGGAAGACGGAGGCCCCGCCACTGTACTACTGAATCGCTCCTAGCAGCTCGACCTGCCGGATCGACACAGATGTGCTTACACGGGGAAATATAGGGTACCCGCTCAGATCCACATGGTTAGATGAACAGCCGAGTTCTAAGGAAGTACCGGGCGGTGAAATGTCATTAGTTAGGCCGGGTCATGTGGAGACGCAGTAGAAAAAGGGAGCCGATATAAAAAAAAAAACTAAAAGAGAGAGAAAACGGTGGTAGCGCTTCAGGATTCAGTAGATTACGTAGCTTCTATGGGACTCCGGACGCACAAAACAATGGTTGGTGCTCGAGTTTTATAGGATTTTTATGGATTATCAAATACAACACACGTTGTAGTATAAGTGGTGTGGATAGTATCCGCTTCACATGCTCATCTATTGTACTGCGGGGCTAAAGTGTCGATTGAAACATTGGGAACACAGATGGAAAAAGAACCGTATTGTTATAAGCAGCTACATATGTTTTTATTAGTGCTAACAAAGAATGTTGTAACAAGCGGTATGTTCTTAATAATCGCTGAAGCATCTGGGCATGATTATTACTTAACGGAAATCATAGATGACAAGTCAGAACACAAGCTCAAATGACAATATATTAGAGTTTCAGTCGCATTGTTTAGACAACAAAATAGACAAGGCATTGTCAATTGCGTAATGAGGTGCACGCTTGATTGATGTGTTGTCGGTGGCCTATCTCCGATTCGTGTTTTGATTAACACGCTTAGTGTTTTTTTCTGGGTCGAAAGTTGCTACATTCAGCGCTATAGTTTGGACGACTAAAGTTCGGTGATTCAAAACCCGCATCGACATACGCTGCGCAAAATGTATGAATAAATAAAGCTCAAGTTACTATTGAAAGTGTTGAAAAAAACAGTGTTTCTTTTGCCACTTGTACCTATAATTTTTATCTTATTTTTAAATTGGCGCGTTTGACAGCAGGTGTTTTTTATTTTGTCGTTAAATTAAGTGACGACTACAAGGATCCGACGTAAGCACCAAGCAGCGTCAAAAACAAAGTGGCCCATATTATCGATTCACTTAAGCGGTATCGACACATGTATGCGAAACTAGAAGCTATAAAATATATACCATTATACGATTTCGTTTGTTGCCATAGCCGTTACAAGCCGATACAGTGATTTGCGTGTTGCACGGGTAATATAAATATTCGTTCGTTAAATATAGAAATTTCGCACATCATGGACATATTACTCAGGTATACTGTCTTTAGTTGTTTACGATCCGGCATTTTTTCAATTCAATTTTGCTAGCTCAGATAATTACCCCAAAAATAAGCAATTCTTCATTGGCTGTGGTCGCTGTGTCTCATTGCTCGTTGTGAAGTAGTGCGTTGCTTCAGTGAAAAGATTCGCGCCTTACAGGGCAGAGTCATGGCATCTCTACCGTTTTTACACCCTTCATTCAACAGCTAGGGGATTATCAATAAAAGTAAGTTTATAATAGGATTCGAAACTTTTACTTTTTGACAATCAACCGCTTAATTCTGGAGTCAGCAGCTTGTCTACTAAAATTCAATAACAATACAGCATCCGCGGTAGAATCGTCGTAGAACATGGCGTCGTCTTCCTAAACTCGCAGGATAGATGTTTTCTTCCTTTCAGGGAACTTTTTCTTTTATCTTGTTCTACCGTTTTGCTACTATTTATTCTATTAATACAGCTAATACAAAATAAGCTGATATCCAATTTACTCGGTATAGTTTGCTTGAATTGGATTTGTTGACTTAGAGCTGAACATCTCCTGATTACTTTAAATTTAGAATATGTGTCACTGACTCGACGTTTGAGTTCAGGCTTATTTTAGCTATAAGCCGTCTAATATAAATAGACAAAGATTACGTGCTATTAGTAATATGGTGATTTGTTAAATATTTCGTTGTGATAAAAATACTGGGTATGATTTGCAGCCATACCAAAAGAAATGTTCGATCTTGCATAACGAGACCTGTTTGGGAGGGAAAGGTCAACGTGACTAACTTGTGTGTTGATGTCTGTGAAACTACTTTTAATTATGTCACCTGAGGGGGGGGGGGTAACGTGTACATCGGACGTCAGTTTAAGCTGAGCGTTCGATGCATAGTGGTAGAACTATCTATTCGTCGTAAGACGTCTCCCTAGGAGGCAGACTTCGTGCCATAGGTTGCTTTGTCACTCGTTTGATATTTTCCGTTTAAGCAAAATTTTTTTTTCAGGAAATCACAACTCATTTCAAAACCACACCGCATGTATAAGGAATTAAACTCGTAAGCACGTCAAAATTATTGTATCCTTGTTACCTCGTATAATATTTATGTGTTGCTCAATACAGCATTGGGTATCGCCGATAATTTTTTGCCTAATGTGATTTTGCTGATTAACAAAAGCTTCTTTTGCTTATCAATATTGGTGACTTAATCATTTACTTCTAATATAGTCGAAAACAACTCATTGTTATATTCCTTCCTCGTATACTCATCATTGGGTATATTCGGAGGAATTAGGTTACTATATTTGAATGGTGGAGGTGTAGCACGCACGGAATTCAATTTTTGTTTATTAATTGTACACCCAACATTCGCATAATACGTTAAAGTCGATAGCTTATAATTATCTATTTTCCGTGATATTTGGCAATATTTCAAAAATTCTTTTAAGGTAGGTGCATGTATAACAGAAACCTGTACTAGCTAATATATATTAGCAGAAAGTCCTACTTACCTGTTATGGGTCGATATCGTTTTCATCGAGTTCATGACCCATATTGAGCAAAAAATAGTAGTTTTTTAGTTCAACCTATTCATGGCTGTAATAAACCATATATTTTTCGTATGCTTTTTTTTGTTCCTAGACATGTAATTGAACTCAGATTTGTCATTGCTGGTCCCAACGAACAGCCTGCCTTTTCTGGTATTATATTTAACAGTTGCAGACGTACTTATTAGAATCTGATAGATTTTTTTTATAAAAAGTGAGTAATATCATACAACCAGGCTGACCTGATTCGTGTGTCGCGAGCAATGTGGCAAACAAAAGAATGATCTAAAATATCAACAGTCGTCAGCTCGGATATCTCAGCTATAAAATTCGAAGGTCAGTTATGGGATATGACCGGCTTCCAGCAAGCACCATAGGACCAATTTCTGAAGATGGCATTTTCTCAAGAAGAGTATAATGGTTGATTCTGTGGAATAGTAGATAAGGAATCGAACTGTACTACGACATGCAGAGGCCTAGCTTGGCTGCAGACTAGTGCTTAATTGTGGCATACTTCCAAGAGTTGTGTCCTAGTAGACTGCTCTTTCGCAATGTTGTCGGAAACTGACGAATGGCATGAACGATTATCTTCGCTATGATGATGCATAATATGTAACTTTGAGTAACCTGTACATTCCTAGCAATGACCGTGTTCTTTTTATAAACGCGGGTTATAATAGATTTTAGAGGCAGCAAATGAAGATAGCAAACAAAAATGCGTTAAGCGGCTTTTTATTTGAAGTTAGGCCGCGCAGCGCGTAACTTCAATGTTTCACGACGTTAGTCCGAATATAGGCATAGTTGGTTGTTCAGCCTAACTAGATGTAAAAGCTTTCGAAGTATCTTAATATTATAGCAGCTTATCATCGCCATCGACAGTTACGCTGTTATGAACTAATTAAGCTGCCTTATGATATACATTTACGTATATCAAAGAAAACTTGAAGGATCAGGAATGTCGCTTTTGTTTTCTTCGAATTATGCCATCTGGCTAACGCGCGAGACGGTTCATGTAGTAGTTGATGGTGTGGAGTTGACACGTCACTTCATTAGGGTTCTAAATTAACAGTGATAGTTGGCTTTGTGGAGTTTTGCTTGCGTTTTGTGGGCTTTGCATATGCTCATCGATCAAAAAATGTTTAAATGGTGTGAAAAACCTGTTATATTTATAATCGCTGGGTACCGTAAGTGCTATAATAAGAATTATACAGCTGTCAGCTTCAGAACCTGAAATTTCAATCTCTAGCTAGCGCTTTGTGATTTATTCTGTTCTCAACATCAAAATACTGTTAAATATTGTCGTTGACACTCCATTAATTGTCGAGGGTCTGTGTTGTCAATTTAAACTAAAAAAAAACCAACGGAAATTAAGATGACTAAGTTAGTTTAAAGAATCCGAAATGAAATCAACCCAAGACGAGGCTAATCATGAAAACTGACATGACCTTTTGCCCATCATGGCTTTTATCATGTGCTTTGTCAGTAAGCGGGTTTTATAAACGAATTGACATATACGAGTGCTACAGGTGCGCAGAAATATGATTGAAAAACGACCTGTGATTTTTGTTAACATCAGTTTTTATTATATCATTCCTAACTCTGTGACTACCTCAAATGTCTAATAATGAGTAAATGTAAATAGACTTCTTCCAATAATAGAGTTCCAAAATTTCGTGGCGATGCGGAAAATGCGTTCTGGCTCTAAGAGACTTTGCTTTACTTTTAAAAAATGTTGTTGATCTTTGTCAAAGATAATCAAATTTTGTTAGCATTAATTTTTGATTCAACATAGGTCCATGTGAAAAATGACTGGTTCAAAAGAGTACGCTACTTATGACAAAATTTTGTAACAACCAGTTTGAACGCCCTTGTAATTTCAGAGTGTGCTATCCCGCTTGTCGCCGTCGAACTTAATGCAAGCCTGAAGAATGGTGTAGATAAGTGCCTAATCAGGGATTTTGTACGATCACAAACCGAAATAATTTTTTATTTTTCTAACCAGAATTTCTTTCTTTCAATGTACCCGCTATCAGAATTTCAGCTAGCACGCCTTAACCTGTTAATTAGCTGCTATTCGATGTTTTGCGATGAAAATTCATTGTGTGTTTAGCCTACGACCGTTTATTAAAAGATTCCAATCTTGTTTCTCAAGTAATTTCCGCTTTCATTAGCCTACTCTAAATGTTGCAATATCCCGAGCTAACACGCTGTATCGCCATAGCTTCCAGGTAATTAGGGGTGCTAAAGGTCACAATTGGTCGCGCTGCCCTGAGCAGCGATCCAGTGGGCAGCAGTGAGTGACTGAGTGTTTGCCGAGTCTACCGGGCCGGCGTCCTGGCTAGGCAAGACGCTGCTTGTGGGGCATGTCGATGGGGATCACCGGCGCGCCGGGGCCTGTCAGCGGGCTGACGAACGAGCCTATGCCCGGAGGTGGCGGCGGTGTGAACGGTGGCGGCTGTGGCGGAAATTCACTCAGCGGAATGGTCGGTGGTGTGGGCGCTAGGGTGATGCGTGGACCTGGCTGGAAATGGGATAAACAAGATGGCGGAGAGGGTCATCTCGGTACAGTTAGACAGTTCGATTCGCCTGAGGAAGTTGTCGTTGTGTGGGATAATGGAACAGCTGCTAACTATAGGTAGGCTTAATTGAAGGCCAGGCTTGCTAACACCATGGAGGAGATATACAGGTCATATTAAATTAGTCAAAACTGGATCTTGACGTTCTCTCCTTTATGTTCATGTCAAAACCGATTTCACGCATATTCGCAGTTTATAAAATTCTCAGTTTTACTGTTTTCATTTTCATTTTGGTAGATGCTGCGGTACGTATGACCTTCGCGTAGTGGACAGTGCGCCGACAGGGGTAAAACACGATAATACAGTGTGTTCCGGCTGTGGTCAAGGTCCAATATATGGTATACGGTAGGTAGAACGTTTACTAGTTGCACACTCATAAGACACTTACCTATTTGACACACAGGATGCGTGTCTCACTGAGATTACATATTACAGTCAGAACTGATTCAGATTGGATTTGTGCAATTTAGCTGTGCACAATATAAAGTAAATGGTATTACACGTGAAAACGTTTAACTTAAGAACTGCTAAACATATCATGCATGTTTAAGAGTTCATCACTCACACGCAATATATTAATATTCCTGCAATATGTCCTATCTAATTTTGTGCGTCTTAGTTAGCCTATATGATTTGAACCGCAATTGAGCCCATCACATTACTACTCCATAATAGACAGAAAACGGAAGCTGTTTCTTATAATCCTATAAAGCAAAACAATAACAAGAAAATCTGACTGATGTTGTTAATAATTTTAATAGGTGGTCGTGTGCAGAATGTTCGTTGCTTGATCTGTGCTCTGTATGCTATCACGGTAATAAGCACCTGCTAGCGCACCGCTTCTATCGGGTAGCTACCCCATTCAGCGATAGGGTACTCTGCGAGGCACGCAAAAGATCCAAGAAAGTTTCACTAAGGGGCACCTTTCCCGGCGCTAGGGTCGTCCGTGGGGTCGACTGGCAATGGGACAATCAGGACGGGGCAAGAACAGGCAAAGTAAGTTGAATAACGTACTAAATATGTGCGTTAGCACAAGAATTATGTAAAAAACTACATGGCAAGCCCTGTCCGTAGTTCCGACTTCTCGCCCTTTATGCATCTATAGAATGTTACGAAGCTACACAACTTCTTGAAAGTTAAACGAAGTCTCACGATTTTAAATTTAACTGGATTTATTTCAAGAATATTTTTTTGTTACTTATTGTAAATACATTTTAGGATACGGAGATGTAAATGAAAAAAAAATTAAGAAATCAATGTAGGAAAATTTATCTTGGAGGATGTTCAATTAGTATTAAAATCCGATTGGTTATTCAGAACTTTAATCGTTTTCTATGAGAACGTTTTCTATCACACTCTTCTAAGAATTTTACTCGACGGCTTGTTTTCTTAAAATGAACAGCCCTCTGAATGTGCACGGCATCGGCCGTCTGCTAATCAAGTGTAGATTAGAGTAAAGAGAAATATACATTACATAGAATATCGTGTTTGAAATTGCCAAACTTTGATTTATGTCCATAGAGTTAAGTAACAAAATGCGTGAAACTTTATTTGTGTGGCTCTAATCTCGACAAGGGCCTTACTATACGAGAGTATCCGTGGATGATACTTACGGTTGTTAAATAAACCTTGTATCTTGCCATTTCATTTTTTACACAGAATACTTACATATTAAGATGCAAAAGTACACAATAAGGTCGTAGCGTTCTTAATCAGTATGTCAATTATTACGAAGACTTATTTGCATCAGCTTTTTTGGTTTGTTGCCACCCATCGGTGCTTGAAATGTAGGTAATTGAAATTCAGGATTGGAGCGTAACAACTCCGCGAAGTGCCGCGTCAGTTCAATGGGAGGCTACAGGTACGCGAAACATGTACCGCGTAGGATTCGAAGGCATGTCGGACCTGAAAGTCCTTACAGACGGCAAAGGAGGAAACGTCTACAGGGACCACCTGCCTGTCCTTGGCGAACATGGAAGCATGATATCTTCTACCGGTCAATTGCAATGTAAGCTAACATGAAATGAAATTCTTGTTAATGAATAAACGTATTTATCTCTAAAGTGCAGTGCAACTTTTAAGTACATGTTAATCAACTGCTAGATATATAAACTTAATGAGTCTGTATATAAATGAATGAACTACCTATCTCTATAGGTACGAGATAAATTTTCTAGTACATGTCAGCTTATGTCGATGTACTAAGAAACAAATATGTTGCTACAAGTAGAGCGTGTTAGATTTATCGTGCAGTTGCAAACATACGTGATTCGTCTTTCTCTCTTCTTACATTTTCACGTATCAGTGGGAGATATGGTGACAATCGAGTTAGACGTGCACCTCGTAAAAAGTCTCCAAGTCAATCACGGTGGCTGGGCTGACGGAATGCACGAAGCTTTGGGCACCACAGGTGAGAGTAATATTCTTGACGTTGATTTATTAGACTCTATTATAAGTGTAAATCTTAACCATTTGTTCTGATAATTTAAGGGCTTAGGTTGCATTTCTATGGCTTGCTTATGGTATTTAAATATAGGTAAAATGAAAAATCAATTACTTATCGGTCATCAACAGGTACAAATTAGTAGCAATTTGTCTTAATTCGTGTGCATTTGCTTACTGATCTAAAATTTTATTTTGTTTTGTCAGGAACTGTGATTGGTATAGACGAAGATAATGACGTTGTGGTAACGTATCCTTCTGGACGACGATGGACGTTCAATCCGTGCGTGTTGACCCGGCTATTACCTAGCAACAGAGTGCAAACAGGCGGCGCAGCTACGACATTTACAGTAAATCTGCTCAGTGATGGAAGCATTCCTGTCGCTGGTGGGTCGACAGCTGCTGGCGGCGGGTCACCAGACGAACTTCAACCAGGTGACTTAGTCCAAATCTGCGGTGATATTGATCGCTTGAAGGTGTTACAGGAAAGGCACGGCGAGTGGGCGGACGGAATGTTGCCCAGCGTTGGAAAAATCGGCAGAGTTCGACAGGTAGGCAGTAGGAAGTAACGCCCTTATTTTAAGCTTCCTAAGTTGTTTCATTCTAAAGCTAAAATCATTTAAAAGGTATTTCGTTTTCCACCTTTCGCACGCATATATTTATTTGTATCTATTCTGCCTACCAAGGAGTTGGTATATTATTTGCGTAGGAAACGCTAAATTGTATATTTAATCGCCACATGCTCGTTTCATGAAGACTTGTACTCGAATGTGCTATGGTACCAGCTCATTGAATTATATTCCTAATATTATTATATGATATTGCAGGTTTACGATGACGGCGATGTGAAGGTTGAAGTACGCGGGGAAGAATGGACTTTCAATCCACTTGCACTTACTAAAATTCGACCGGACTCGACAAAGGTACAGAATTAGCTCAGAGACCTTCAGGATATATAATATCATGTAATTCTGGCTAATAGTCCATACAATTCCAGAAGACGGAAACTATGCAATTGTAATGTGAAAAATTAAACGAAAGAAAGCACGAATATAAGGAGAATTATTCATAAGTGAAGGTTGGCCTACCTCAACTACAAGTGTAATAGTTTCCTTCTCTCGACCCCTGAATTGTTTGCAGGGTTCAGGTGATCGGCTCAGTGCTCTTCTGAAAAAACTGTTTGATAGCCACGCGTCAGGCGATGTTAACGAGGAATTGGTTCGATCTGCAGCATCGGGTGACGCCAACAAAGTTGAAGGCCTCCTTAAGCGGGATGCCAGTGTTAACGGTGTCTACGTTACACATACGGCCTTACAAGCGGCCTGCCAAAACGGACACCTCGATGTACTTCGACTCCTCGTGCGCTACGGTGCTGATGTTGAAATTGAAGGTGAGCTAGTTTTCTGGGAGAGTGAAACGCCTGTACGACAACAAATACGTTCATTTGATTTAACCTAACTAAATGTTTGTGCCTACATCCTGAAAACAAAGTTAATATGATTGGGTATTTTCTTTGTTCTTCCCTTCTTTTACTTATTAGACAAGGACGGTGACCGGGCAATACACCATGCTGCTTTCGGTGATGAACCCGAGGCAATCCGGTTATTGGCTCAAGCTGGCGCCGACCTAAACGCGCGGAATGCTCGACGTCAAACTCCACTTCACATTGCCGTCTACAAGGGTCACGTGAATTCGGTGCAACGCTTATTACAATTAGGGTGTCATCCGAGTCTACAGGACTGTGAAGGTGATACCCCGCTGCATGATGCGATCAGTAAACGACGTGAGGATATTATGAAACTTCTATTGCGCAGCGGCGCCGATGTGACACTCGCTAACAACAACGGCTTCAATGCCCTGCATCACGGTGCTCTTAGGGGCAATCCCCAGGTGGGTGTATCAAACTTGCATTACCATTTATTATACTTTAAAGTTTATACGACCTGCAAAAACAAAAAAAATATTCCTCTTTTATATGCCGCTTCCACTCGATTTACTTGTTTTTTGTAGGCGGTTCGTGTGTTATTGGAAAATCTTCCCCACCGATGGCGAGTAGATGACCAGAAAGATGATGGCTATACACCGTTGCATTTAGCAGCACTTAACAATCACCTACAAGTAGCTCAGCTTCTGATCGAATTAGGCGGAGCCCGGGTGGATCTACAGAACATCAACATGCAAACACCTCTACACCTCGCAGTTGAAAGACAACATCATGATATAGTTCGGCTGCTTGTCAATGCCGGTTCGTATAAATTTATTCTCGAAACAATTGCAAAAAAGCTCTGAGGACCAAATCAAACTCTCAAATTCTTTAACGAAAAAATCTTATGAGTTTTTAGAGGTATCCACAGGGTTATAAATTAATGAAAACAACTGCAAACGTTACACGATACTCGTTAGTCAACTTCTATGTGAATTTCAGGTACTAATCTAAATTTGATGGATAAAGATGGCGACACTGCGTTACACGAAGCTCTTAGGCACCACACGCTGTCGCAATTGAAACATCTTCAAGGCAGCTACTCCATGGGAGGCGCATCCACTAATACAGTAAACTCCAATATGGCTTCTGTGAACATGGCTAACATGGCAGGTGGAACCAACCAGGCCAGTATTGCAGACAAGCCAAATCAAGCGGCTTCCCCAACTGGGACTCTTTTGGGATCCCTTGAGATAGGAGATATTAGTGCTCAGATTGCCAAATTCCTTGTCGCCAATGGAGCAGACCTAAGTGAGTGACAATATGAATTGCTGCTTTGATGCTTGAATAACTTCAACTGTTAATTTATGTAAAAGTTATGGCTAGCTCTAAAGCATGCTTGATGCATAGCTTAGCAAACCGCAGTGGATACAAAAGTTGAAGCATATCTAGAGCATAATTGTTGTTCGCCATGCTACCACATTCCGCACACACGATGTAAAATTCAAATAGAATTTCCGTATCATTTGAAAGACGTTCTTCTTTTTTCGCAGCTATTCGAAATCAAAAACAGCAAACCCCATTGGACCTTTGTCCGGATCCAAATATGCGAAGCCTCCTCATCAAGAGCCAGCAACAACAGCAACAGACACAATTGCAACAGAATTCATTTGCGTCAGTGGGGTCTGTATCATCGTCGCAGGGTCCGAGCGAGGCACTGGCATCCCTCAGCATAGGAGCTCGCAATCAACAACAGATGTTATTCAGCACTCAGCAATCATCTATAAATCAGCCCGGTCCGGGAGGCCATCAGGCGCTCTTCTCGCACCCGCAGGCCATTTCGCGGCAGAAACTAAATTCAACAGCAAACTTTGGAGAAACCCGCACTTCCCTTGAAGACGAGTGCATGGTGAGAGAATGTGATATATATAACGGCATCTGTGGCGTGATTCCATCATTAAGTGATTGCTGGTTGACACCTTTTAAAGGTTAAAATGTATATATTATCAAATTGGTTAGATTAAAAGGACATGTGGATCTATTTTGTTCTTAATAACATCGTTATAGGTGTGTTCAGATCGTCCGTCGTGCATTATGTTCCTGCCGTGTGCGCATGTGGTTTCATGCGAGTCATGCGCTTCGCGCGTTAAAAAATGTCTCGAATGCAAAGCGGCGGTCCAACAGAGGGTCAAAATTGATGAGTGCGCTGTGTGTGCGGACAAATTGGCCGCTGTACAGTTCCACCCCTGTGGGCATGTATGCGCCTGTGAAGATTGCGCCGCTTTAATGAAAAAATGTGCAGAATGCCGACAGCATATTGAGCGAAAAACGGAGCTAAACCAGCCGCGTTCTCATGAGGTATGCCTTAGCGTCGTTTCTAACCTAGTCTTTTCCACGATAATTTATGCTATAGTGTTTTCGCTATGAATGAGCTTCACCATACCATACTATTGAATCGTTATAGGATCCATTTACAGATGTCATTCTGCTCCACAATCCATCTCCTCTTTTCCGTACATACCTTTACATCGTATTACAGATGCCGGACGGTGCGCGAAACAATAGTGCCCCGATGCGACCAGCCACGATTGAGTCGCTTGGCGTGAAAACGAAGGAAAACAATATCTCTTTTGGAACTTCTGTTATCCAACAGGGACAGTTACCGCAGCAGCAACAACAGCAGCTGCAAAACGTAGGGAACCCTACGCCATCGACTTCGCGATGTACTGAAGATGAAAATGATCGCTTGAAACAGCAGCTGAATGACATGCACGAGCGGTCGATTTGCCCTGTATGCCTTGATCGCTACAAGAATATGATCTTCCTTTGCGGCCATGCCACTTGTCAATATTGTGGTGATCGTCTTCTCGAATGTCCTATCTGTCGGAAGAAGGTCGAGCAACGAATTCTTCAGTATTTCTAAATAAATGACTCGGTTAGCAGTTGCCGACAACGAACAGGCATAATGGAAGAAAGACCTTATTATAAGCTATAGGTCAAAGTTATTTAGGTACTGGCAAAGGTCCGCTTTCCGTAGAGGCTGCTGAATATAAAACTATTTGTTCAGAGAATCAAAAGGGAAAGAGATATTGATTTTGACATTATAGAACTGGATCGCACATGACAGAGGCCAAATGTTTCGCCTTTTGTTATTGTTGCACGGGCAAATGATATATATATATATATATATAACGTGTATGGAAATTAACGAGTGCGCTGCCTGTAGGCTGCGAGGGGTATTACTGTAGCATTTAGGCAAAAAACGTGGTACCAATTTTGAAAAAGGAACCATCTGTGGTTCGATATCGTCATGAAAAGCTTATGTAAGAGGTGCGAAAATGCTCTAAAACGAATTTCCCTCACAAGCTTACTAACCGGTTGTGATCACCTTCAGATTTTTGAGAAACCTTAAGTTAGTAGGATTGGCGAATCGCACTATACGTATAGTCCCAACGCTTCTAAGAACCTAATCCTATTACCCAGCCCCATTCCCCTTCCCCTCCCCCTCCCCGGGTTTCGTTTGATAGTAGCATAACATCTACATATAACATTATAGACTGGGATATTACCATTGAATATGCAGCCATACCTTATTATTTCTAAACAGTATTAGTATCGATAATATTGAAAAACTATAATGAAATTTAGCTGGGATGAAGTGCATTGATCGACTTTTAACGTCTGTCTGGACAATCCGATTGCTGCCTGATTAGAGCACTTCATTAGTAAGGAAGTTTCGTTTTCTAGGAAAACTTCGACAAGGAAAGGTAATCCAAGATTGATTTAGATAATAATGTGAGCAATATTCACAAATAAAACCGATAATAAATAGCTAGTGCATAAACAATTTCAAATAAAACAAAACATCGTTCGCTACTAAAAGAAAAAAACAAACTAAACATATTACTGTGTATTCAAAAAAGGAACGGATTTTGAATCTAGCAGTGTGGTCCGATTTGCTAAACCTGACGAAAGACTCATATAACAAGTTAGCTGATATCGTCCAAAAATGCACGCACAGCTTTCCATGTGTCTGGTTAACCCGAACTGGACTACAATCTATGTACGTGTTCCTTTTATTATAGACGCAGAAATTATGCGGGTCTTCGGATACATTTACCATTTTGTTCCGCTACATGAAACAGTCCCTGTATAACTCTCTCTACGAAAAAAAGAATGAATTTGTTGCTAAAATGTGTACATGTATATAAAAAAATAGCGATAGAATGTAGTAAAGTTGAATAAAGGAATGTATATATGAATATATATATATAACTATACGAGGGGGTCATTAATGTAAAATCACTGTTGTTATGCTAGTCTTGTGGCTGTCATCATTGTTTTTGTTATTATTCTCTGAAAATTCTCATTCGTCTTTCGTGACATAAGATCATATTCAGCGAATCCTATGTGAATCACTTAATCATCAATAACAGTGTTTCAAATGATCTCGTTGTTCATAAGCACGGGATGGTTCTTATACCATCGTTACCATCATCATTATATCGTTTTCGGACTTACTTTAATCCATTTAGCCGCTGTCTTGCAACGTTCTCTCGATATGCTCTCTAAACAACTTATGTCTTATCCTTATCCTTTTTTGCCTAATATTTAACCAAATCATTGAGTGCAGGATTTTTTTCAGCTGACGACGCGTTATTTCAGCAACGCTGTTCAAGCCAGGTTTAGGTGTGAGAACCAGTGGAATTTTCACTGCCAATTTCAATACCAAAAAATATCAACCTAATCCACATTCTAGACGTCCCGTTATGTTCATCTGGTAATCATATTTCCTCCTTTTCTAATCTATTCAGAGTTGCCAATGCTGCTTACATGAAGGATTAACCGAATCTAGTGTTTAAAAAATCAGAATTTAGCATTACAAATAAACATAGGTCCAAACCCCTATCTTGTCGTAGCGGCCAAAGCCTTCTCAACCCCAACGCAATGGCCAATAGCGCATGTGGCACGGCAGGGCCTCGTTTCGAATAGATTATAAGTGAGGAGTGTATTTGTTCTTACGCGGGTCAAATGCAACTATTGAGTGAGCAGAAATTCGAATCTTATGAACCATTGAACTCCTGCTTTGAACCATGTCTACGTATGACCTAAACGCCCCTTAATCGCAAAGGTAAACGCATTAGTATTCGGATCTACTAGCTCATATTTAACGATGAATTGAACTTACATTATATATGCTTTATACATACAGCTTAAAAAACGAACTTGTGCCGTTCCGAAACAACACCACTGATACTATCAGGTCAAACTCACACTGCAGCTTTCTCACTGCAGAGTTAATTATTAGGTGTCCTATAAATAGATGCATGCATTATACGATATCGCGAGTGGAGATTGTTTGTTAATGATATCTCGAAGCACAAATGTCAATGGCCTTAACGATGCAACGGGCGCCGCTTGCTAATAGACTGCAAGATATCGGACATTTTACAAATTTATGCACGTATTAGCAGGCATCATATACAGGTTATTGAAGTATGTCGATACGTGTAATGGGAAGCACTGTCGACAAAGGGTGGCGCAGTGCCACCCCTTGAGCTCGATGTTTGATAAACGATGACGGATTACTTCAGGCAGGTAGCATAACGACAACTTAGCTCTACATAGTAGTGACTAGAGCATTACAGGTGAACAGGTGTTATGGAAACCTCCATAATGAAGTTAATCAATAATTAGGCAAACAGAAAATCGATCTGTAGTCGAGTTCTTCGGTAAGTCAGCATCGTAACATTATTGCAATATGATATTTATATCACTTAATATCGCAATGGGTGTCTTCACTCCTGAACCTCATGGCCGAACATTTGTCTAGTAATATTGTACATATTTATCGCTGGTCAGTGTTAGTTCAATCAAGACGTCTTTGCGACGGGTTGTGATTCGAAAACAGATCGCAAAAATGAATGCGCGAGTTTCCTGTTGCTTGTCAAAGAGAGCTTGCGTGTTCCTGTACAGGGTTACTTAGCATAAACTCTCTTAGTCCACGTTTAGATCCATGTCAGAGGTTTGTTTTGCATAGTTAATACTAAAATTTCTGATATTTTACGGTCGTAAGTGGCTAGCGATATCAGCCTTGGTAATGGTGCAGTGGTAACGTATCTGCCTTCTAAACTTAGGAACACATGGCCCCTTAAATTCGAGACGGGCGTAGAGGTATTTCGTTCAATGTTCAACTCAGCCGTTTGAAGCAATGTTTAATGTAGTAGTACCGGGCATAAAACTCGAAACATCTATTTAAACTCAGCAGGCTTTATTACACAAGGATGGATGCATAACCCGCTCATAAGCGTTAGCTAAGATTTTAAAAAAGTTAGATCTAAACAGTCTGAACCTGGAGGTCTTAGTTCTTCAGTGTATGAAATAGCTGTTTAAAATACATCAAATTCAACTTTATAGAAAAGGTATCTATAATGAAGCAGTAGATATTACCCAGAACTGTCGGATTATCTTAGGGGCTTTAAACATCCACACTGTCAAAAATATTGTGTTGACTGAGTGAAAAAAAAACCTTCACGAAGAATATTTATAAACAGGTACGGAATCATCAGGATGTTTGTCGCAGAGCTATAAAAAGACTGCATTCGTATGTGAGCGCTTAGAATATTATATTCTGCCTTAACAAAGGGTCTTTGCTAGATAAAAAATTCGACAAACGACAACCGATAACTAGAGTACACGCCAGAATAGACTGTGATAGCGCACGTATCGCGTTCCAGTATTTTTATCAATAGATAGTTACTAAGACAAACCGCCAACGGATATGCGCTTGGGTTTACAGAGAAAAATAGTTTTATTCGATAAATAGGATAAATTGTCCTGTCAGATGTTTTCCATTCGGTTCTAATTGCATTATTAGTGTATGAATGTGGGTACCCAAGTTCATTGAGTTCCACTAACCAGATTTCGTTTCGTGATGGCTGGGAGCCAGCCAGTCATCTGATGGAATGCTGGTTTCCAGGTAGCGATATCGGACGTAAAACATAAATCATTTCCCCTAATCAAAAAGCTTTTAGCTTCATTAACATCGATGTTTGTATAAGTAGCATCTGCGATTTTTTTTATAAAGTACATTTCTGGTACTGTACATTCCTTCGTTGCGTTACGCTGCAGACGGATGGTAGCACTGAAAATAGGCACTAAATCTTCTTACTTATTTACGTGCATCTTCCGCGATGCGTTACTGACACAACAACAAGATCGTGTTATTACTTCGTCAATTGAAATCATAACGATATACTAATCCATTCTACTTTGAGTGTTATGAGTTGTCCAGTACTGAGATAATGAACAATCAAGATCCATAGTTTGTCTATCTGCTGATGTTTATGTGTGCTTGCCTGGCGCGCTATTATACGCTGACTGACAGTATAACAGTAATAAAAAACTAAATAGAAAAGTCTTTATACCTTCTGCACTTGACATGGTAAGCTGGTAATGCTCTGACTAGGAAAACCGCATAATAATGTTTGCATTGTAATTGATATTTATGTATTTAGCCAGCATTTCTTTTGTCCAATTGACCTATGTTTGCTTGCTAACGAAACATTTCGGCCTGCTACATCTTTGAGAAATTACTGTTTATTAAATAACCGAGTTTACGAAAAATGTTGGTTTTTTTCTACTCCCCTCAAGCTCATATTCCGCTCGCTGACCCAATCTTCCACTTGCTAATCAGATGCTCTGTGTGTTAGATTTGATTTTTCGCGCGAAGCCCTATTCTAAAAATCATCGGTCTTGCTTGCTATATCATAATTAGGACATTGTTGTCGATCTACCAGCCTGTTGCTACACTTCTGCTTTTTTATTGTCGTCTGCCCAGCTTCTAGACGCCCCTTAGCCCATATATGGTTTCTGCTTGTCCTGCCTTTCCCACATAGACGTGGTCTTTCGTTAACGAGAGTGTGTTGCCTCTGGCGAATGCGCTCAGGCCGTCGCAGCCTGGCTAAGTGAACATAGTAGAACTCTGTCCACTACAGCGTCTATATTCTCTTGCTTGTATATTTACCTGCTTGGCAGGTTGGTCGATTATGACAAACAGCAAATGCACTGCTTGCATAACTTGTTTGCAACGTTAGCCTTAGTGTCTTCCTTGAGGGACCATAAACGAACCGTGACAGTTTTCGGGCAGCTGGGGATTCTAGGGCTGCTACCCTCCAAAAAGATGTGCACAGCAGAATGATCTCCGATGGCCCGTATCGGTAGATGTTATCTCCTATCGTCTTCGATCAGAGCCTTGGATATATGGTTGCCAGAGGAACGAATCTGAGTTTAGCACTGGACATAGTTGCTTGCTTTGCAGTGAACAGATAAAGCATCTGTATAGCCATTATGAACATTGTTACTCAGTGTCATGCAGATAACAACATTTGTATATGGTACACATATTATGACGATCCTCTGTGAGTGTTGTTACCAATACGTATAGCTAGTTACAGTAAGATTCACCTAATTTCGGTAGTGCCATCTTTATATTCGACTCAAGTAATCGATTACCTTGTGGGCCGCAACAGCCCTACTTAGAAGTGACACGGGGACTATCCTCCGCTAGTACACGTAAACTGCGTCCTGGATTGGTGCTTAAGGATACTTTAAAATCTTAGCCGACTGATCGTTTTTGCCCACAGGCGTTGTCATGGGGCAACAAATGCTCGCATAATTGTGCAGATATTAAACCGTTTAGGAGAACTAAGACAAATGTCTAATGCCATTAAGGTGTGTCAATTAGAACGCTAAAGGTACAGGCGCGAGTGGTACAAAGGCTAAAGGCATGTATATGAACAAAAAATTATGACATGATATCATTTTATCAGAAGTCTAACGAGGAGGAGACTTAGGGGAGAGAAAACTACCAGTACTAAGCCGGAAAGACATGACTAAAGGATGCGTGGCGGCGAGACCAAGCGCACGTACCCCATGGATCCCGCTTTAATGTACTGAGCGTCTCAAAAGCTGAAGGCTGCAAGGCGTCCTGCCGGCTAAAAGAAAAACCCACTTAGAACTGGCGGTTTAACTTGGTGTAGCATAAGTGCGAAAAGATATTCAACATTATATTAGCGGTTCGTTGTGAAAAAAGTGTTCATGTTTAGAAAAAAATTGTGCTACTGTGTTGAGAAGACCCTGTGTACCTCTCTATTTCAATTAACTTGCTTAGGCATACTACATGTTGTACAATAGTAGGGGCGCTAATTTAGTCATCAGAGTTTTTTAAGCAATCGTTAACAGTAGTTAACACTTGAGCGCATTCATCAAAAATGCAAAGCTACGAAAGGAGCTAGTTTGATGCGAACACTCACAAGGTCTCTTAACAAATAAAGGTTCAAAACGGTCAGAATTATGCAAAAATCACGATACTTACAGTGAGAACGACATACATACCATCAGATTGGATGGAATTATATCGTTATCGACGAACGGTATTGATCTCAGTGTATTTATCTCTTTACGTATAAATATTAGTAGCTGTATTGAGCCTATATTGGAGCACCGTATGAGGCAGCCAGCCAGCCTCTCCAGGCCTGATTATGCAAGGTCATGCCAGCTGAGTTCACAATCAGCCGGGTGGTCTGAGGCATTCTGCCAAGATAGCAAGCAAATGAGACAGGGGTAGATAAACGACTCTGATAGATATTTTGTATATTGAAGTGTGATAAACTCGATCCGAAGCAGTATAACTGTTCGCTTGCATTTGGAATTGAACGCAGGCTGATCTTTAGGAAACTTTCAATTCTATTTCAAGCGACAACTATATTAGCGCATGTTTCCTCTTGTCACTATGATGTTCACTAGCTTAACGATGACTCTCGCACAAAGTCGAGAACGACCTTTTTGAGCTTTACGGACAACATTCCGGGAGCTAACAAAGTGAACGTCAAAAACAACGTGTGGTAGAAATTCGGTAGTTTTCAACGGAACTTTGAGTTCTGTTTACAGACCGATCTGGTGTATTCTTTTTCTCTTCTTTACTTTCACTTTTCCCAGGTCGCAAGACGTTAGATGATTGTATGATGAGGTCCAAACAAGGCCATAAGAGATCATCTAAATAACGTTCATAGAGAACATCTAAAGAAGTGCCTGTACCTTCCACCCCGATAATAGATGCCATTTTTAATTAATTGACAAAAAAGCAATAGTTGGGATTTTGTATAAAAAAAAAAAAAAAAAACGCAGCAGAAATCAGTGTCCTGCATCTGGGTTTTGTTTTGACTTATTTTGCTACTGCCATCGATAAATACGATAGAATGGGGACATCAGCATGCGAAAGCTCTATCATGAATAGGAAGAACTTTCGAGGGAGCCATAGCTGGGGACGGAAACAAACCAGTTCCACGCAATAAGTATATCCGAGCGTTTCTGCCCGGTTGTACGTTTTAGTTATCAATACACGTATCGTCGTCCATATCGCCCTGATTGCCGTCGGTATTTGTGTAGACGCAACAAACACATAATTTACGAACAAATTCACTATTTGCATCTAGCAATTGTGCTCACATATTTCCCTTGGCAGGCCATTACGTCAATAGATTTTGGAGATCCTGCTAGAGCTACAGCCATTTGGTCCCCATATTCTCCCATACTTGGCATTCCGTTATCGACACCTAAAAGTTGAAACTAACTTTTAGGTGTCGATAACGGAGTTTCTGCTGGATAATTTTCCATTGTTTTTGCATGGTGAATCACTTGCAGTCGCATCCTGCCTCTGTGCGCTAGGCCTGTAACTACAATAACGACGGCCCGTGGACGAACTCAAGTGCAAGGCTTCAAAGTTGCAACTTTGAAAGCCTAGCAGCTTAGAACGTTTTATTTTTCACAAAACTCTACACAGTTAGATCAGAATCTGACCTCTGATAATGCAACGCAGCGCCATGCTAATGAAAACGCGTACATTTCTGCCGAATGAAAAGCTGTTGCTGTTGATGCCAGCCGAAACCTGTCTTAATGAATAGAATATAATGTACTGTTTGCTCCATACACGTACAAATAAAGGCAGCTCAGAAAGTGTCTCGTTCCTGCGTCACAGTCGTAATCGCGGTAGCAGGACCATCAGAGGTGGGGACACACGGCCGAAGAAAAAGCGCCGCTCAGCGCTAGCAGAGGGACAGGGATATCTGGACAATTTTTCTTTGTCTTTATTTGTTTTAATTTTGTCTTAATTACGCTGTATGCCTGTCGTATAAAACTGTTGAGTGAAGACAGCCAATTAATGTGGGCCTACTTTGAGTGGTTAGTGCACCTTGCTCTGGTTCGATGATGGTGCTTTCGCTACGACCTATCAAAACAATTAAGCAAAAGCGTGCAAGGCTCTACGATGTGTTTTCTGTGTGGTGTACATGTTCACAGTACCCGACTCACTGTTATAATAGAAACGGAACGACAACGAAACTCTTTTAAGGATTTGCGAGCCAAGGACCAATCATAACAGAGGAAATGACTTGATAGCCATTTTTTATACTGAGAACCAAGAAACCTGTACAGTTTTGCCTTGGGTGATGTGATAGACGCAGCATGTATCAGTGGCAGTGATTGAAATCCAAAGTCGTTTTTTTTTGTTTTTTTGTAGTGAAAAAGGAACATTTTTTGATGCTTCATTTGGAAAACACAAAGTAAAGAGAATCTAGAGCGTAATTATTTCTGCAATATGTTGACATCTATGCTTCACAAGTGCCCGAATGGAGTCTGTCGTGAGATATCATAAACGTTGGTACAAATGAGACTGAGCCCCACTCTGACCCAGGTTTAGTGCTTGTGTGTAGCTTTGAGGTACGTTACCTGGTAGAATTCCGGAAACAACTGAGCTAACCAGGTTTGAACGCTCTTAAATTAAACAAGCTTGTCCAAAAACCTAGTAAACGCGCCGGGCTACTTACTAGATTTGCTTACAAATCAATGGTCAGATGCATATTGTGATTTGATGTACTAGCTCTATGTGTATAAATGCTACCTACATTGTACTTTTTAAAAAGACACATTTGAATTATTGAGATACCAGGTTATGCTTGCTATTTTAAAAAAATTTTGTGTTTAACTAGCTGCATTTAAAAATTTTAAAAACGTAACTCATTTAAGAAGCGAGCACAAGATAGCAGTTCCTTAATTAATGCTCTACATTCAAAATCACAAGAGCGGCTTGTGTATATCAGATGTTCGATTGCCGTCATTCTTGTTGATCACTAGTTTGTAAAAACTAGTCCTTAATCATACTAGAACTAACTTCACGTATCATTCTAACCAAATATGGATAGAAGCACCGTACCTAATGAAGAGCTATAATTTTTTATTCGTTTTTGGTCTAACATGATGTTACTCTCCGATCTCAAGATGTTCATTATTGGCCCTAATAACTTCAACACAATTAAATTTTAAATGCAGCCTCTTTTCAAAACCATTTTTATATAATTTATTCTCACGGATTCGTCTTCACCGTCATCTCTGGGAAGATACGCACTGCAATGCTCTCCTACGTCCTGCGCGCTTTCAACCATGTTCTTCTCTTCCACTTAGCGCTATATGCTCTTTGCGTATAGCCTCTGCGAACGTAGTCAGTGTCGCTCCCAGGAAGTCATGGCCTTTTTCAGTAAACTCTCGTAAGCGAAAATTTCAATCTTTTGTATACACACATGCGGCTCAGCTTCTTTCCCCCTACATTGAGTTGCGAATAGGGAATTGAGACCCTGTCCTAACTGCATCGCGAAGGCCAACAAAGAGTCGGCTGACTTGCCTTGTCCTCTAGAATGAGGTTGCTCTTCTCTTACCATTCTACATCCGAACTATCGCCTGCTGAGCCAAAAGCTCATGTTTTCCGTACACCTCAATAGAAAAAGATCTCCTTTATGATGTCCTCCTCCCACCGTATGCCCAAGTACTCCACATTCCTCTCACAATACCACGTTTTTTTTAGTGGGTTTATTGTTTTTGTTCGCTGGCTCAGTACCCCTTGAATTTCCGGCGCGGTCGTGCCTTGACCTCAGCTATACCGTCTCATCGAAGTTAGTGCCTGCCATGGTATGCCATCATAGCTGTCCTTCACTGTTCGCTTACATACCACCTTGCTCCTCGAACTATATTCGTTGCGAGACAAGACACATGCCCTTTGCGCCCGAAATTGTCCGGAATGAATATTTGAAAGAAAAAGCACTACGACATTTGAAGTTACTTACCGTAATTAATGAATGTTGTCAGAAACGGTTTAATCGTATTTGAAAATGAGCTTCAGAACATGGACGATATGTTGGCTATTGTACAGGCTGCTACAAAGGTTACTGGATGCTCACACATCTGATTCGGTTCTTTTGCGACCATTTTGTGGACAGATTATATTGAGTGTTGCTTCTGGTCAGACATGAATCTAGTGGGGTATTCGTGAATTAGTGGCCATTCTGAGTAAAGTGCACGTAGAAGTTCGACTGTTATGTACTGCGTCCTTTTATCAAGTATCTTAATTGGACAGAAGGTCATGAATGAAAGTGTTCGAATACTCGCTTATAATGTATAATTACATACGACGGTTAAATTTCAAATGTAAGTTGATTTAATTCTTGAGAACATATCGACAACAATACAATTTGAGTAGGCCGTGAGCGCCCTTTCTAAAGATTGAAATCCTTTCCCAGTGCCAAATTCCACTTACTTAATTATACGAAACGCAAATAAGGCCACCTCTAGCTCACCAAAGCTTAGTATTAATCTCAAACAGTTACAATGGCGTTAATCTATGTAGTATAATGTAATTTCAGTCTATAACGTACGCTGCGCATATTCTGATCTACTTCTTAGTAACTGGTACCAAAATAATGAAATATAACTTTTGTTCCCCTGGGTTCGGTGATGAAACATGTTGATAATTATACCTCCTATTACTGTGCCCGCCTGCTCGCACTCCTGTAATAGATTGGTCCATAATTAGTAGTCCATGTTCACGATCATCATTAGCCTGCATCCAAACGACTGATGATCTGAATGCACCCATGTGTGGCACCCAAGTTCACAGTGAAATGTAAATACTCGTCGCGGCCAACGTTATACTATGTAAACATTTTCGCTCACCTCGTATCCGCTGTCTCTTCACTAATCTCTGGTTTGTTAACTGTCCCTGGCTTTTGCGCGCATGCGTATCCGAGAACCGAAAATGTCACTTATGACTATTAACTGTAGGAAAACGTTTCGTGTGTACGATAACTATTAGCGTACGGACTCACAGCGGTGACCTCGTCATGTCGAGGAAATTTGTTTTATTTTATAGTTATTATTCAACTGTATAATTCTGGCGTGTGAACAGCAATAACAATTTGTCCCCTTAGAACCCAAACCCACACATTCCCTGCATCTTCCAAATCTGTTCCATTACGAAGCCGCCGTTCATTGTTAAATTTCACTGCACATACAGACAACTATGAAACGTACACTAATGCAACTGTGACAAATGGCGTAGTGTTTACATAAAACGAATCTGCATTGATTTTTTCCATTTCGATCATCGCGTACAATTGACCGCTCGATTCGTTGGAAGCGGCCGTGTTGGACCTGATGTCGCAGTCGACATTAGCTCCACCGACCCGAACTGGAAACGTTCAGGTGGCTACCAGAGGGAGACACTGTCGATTTAGCGACTTAGCCGAAAATATATAGTAGCTAACTAGAGTTCGATTTGTAACTGTGGAGTTACGAGTCGCCTCGTATCGAAACCGATTGTCATCAGATCAGCCAATTCAGCCAGAGAGGCTCGTATGTTTCCAGCGTACTCAGATTCCAAAATGCATACTTTCTGGTCTAATTACATTATCTAAAAACAACGCTATATTTCTATTGCACATTTGCTAAGCTCGACTCTAGATCGTGGCAGCTCAGGCGGCGACGGCGGGACAAACATTGCCATGATGTAATTGTTCCTGGCTTTCATCAGTCCGATTTTCATTTGTCTTTCCAGGTAACTACTGCATTGCGGCCTGGGTCTTCGTAGCCCCTTGCACTTTTGTGGCACGTCCAGCAAAGTCAGAAACTTGAAATAGCTGCCGATTGAATACTGCGCGTGTCATTTTCGCTGTCTGCGCCACCGCTACGTTTCAAATTAGCGATTGCCGGTGGTGCCTGAACGTTTCACGAGGCGAGTCTGTCCCTACTGTGCCCCTGTACTAGTGATCTTTTACTGTGCAGTCCTACGCGGATAGTCCTGTAATTTATATTGGAGGCTGCTTTCTGACCGACGTCTGCTCCGATCGTGATGGACCAGGCAAGACAGTCTCCATGCTTTTGACGACCGGTTGCTAGACAACAGAAATAGAGGCGGATCAGCTTGAATATATGGGCATTCGCATATAGATATTCATATACGAAAGTGTAAATTTCGGCGACCGCCAATCAAACGAAAAAGTACGGACCTTTTTCACAACTCGCCGAAGGGTGGCGGGGACCAGTTATGCTGGAGAGGGTCGGTCGATTGCCCGACGACGGAAGCTCATGCGTTGACCTCTGAAGAGCGACGTGTGTATTCTTATATACTATTAGGTTACTGGATTGACAAAACCTTGCGATCAAGAGACGTAGCACCCTCCGCATGTGATGCAGAAGCAGTTTGGTAAAGGAAGCGGAGTAAACTTTGCTTGCCCAGCAGAATTTAGATCTGACTTTGTGAAGGTTTCGACGCGTCGAACACTGCTACAATACTGAGTTCGATAAGACCTATACTGGTAAAAGATCATGCTTTCGACAGACTCTGTTCATTTCAGTCCGTCAAGCGACGAAAACGATGCAAATGAGTCTTACTACACAGTCGGGTAAGTACAGTGACCACATCGGTAATATTATCCAGAAAAAGGCAGATGAAAGTAGGTACGCATACGACACAAGCAGAACAAGAGCACGTTCTTCATTAGGAAAATGAGCTAGCTTGTGATTTAAAGAGTACCTATTTTAACTTACATGCACTTTATTTTTTGTCTAAGAGGTCTATTTATTCTGGCTGTAAACTTATCATTCTACTTAATTGTAACTTTATGTTTGCCTTATCGATGCGCTTTTGTGGCTTGTTACTTTTAGGGTAGACGTGGTGCACTCTCCGACTCGAAAAAACTTCCCTTCTCTTTCGAACGACAATAACAGAAATTTCTTAGAAGAGGTCCCTGAGATAATCGGTCCACCGACTGAGTACGCGAGCCCCTCACAGACATCGATCCCCACGCCATCGCCTTATTGGCTTTGTAGATTTGATATCGATAAAGCCGTTATGAGCAATACCGAATTCACGCGATTACAGGATCCAAGGCGTGAGTTTGTTCGGTGCATTTATTACCTTTATAAGTAAGCAGTTTGTTTGTACCAAATGAGATAGCCAGTGATTCGAATAAAATGGACCACAATAGTTTGTCGCCTGTTTCTACATGATTTCAAAGAACCGCCTAAGTTTGCTTAACAGTATATGTTGTTCTAAAGCTGAAATGATAAACGGAATGATCCGTAAAGGCGGCCTTATTGATTCTCGAAGCAGCAGTAGCTTACACAACCAATCGAAAGGGATGCATCAGTACAACGTCAACTATTTATCCCATCAGTTACAGTGAGCAGGCATTCGAACGTACCGTTTGGCTTTTAGCGTCTGCGAGGATGCGCTGATACTCAAGAACGCACCCATCACGCTCGCGCAGCTTCCTCGGCTGACAATGGCACTGTAGCTTCATTTTCTAGCCGCTTATCCGACTCTAAAAGACGTTCCCACTGCTAGGACGAATGAGGTGCCGCAATCACCTAACGCCCCCGATCAGAACTGCCAAAGAAAGGAAATCGTTCAAAGGAAATTGCCGAACCTTTTTTGTCCTCTCTAAGAACCGTAAGGTGACTTTGAAGGCGAGGGGAACCGAGGCACGGCAGAAGGGGGAATGCGGTGCAAAAACCGATCTAGCTCATCTTTGCGTGCTCCATTCACCCGGCTCGATTCGGTAGGTTACCTTGATGCTATCAACCAATGCAACTTATGAAGCCATCATATTAGAATTTCTATTAGATACTGAGCTCATGGATTGATTGCACAGGGTGTTTCGTAGGGGTAACAGTTTTCAGAACCAGTCATATGCTTACGACTGTCCAGCAGATGTATGATAGATATCGACTCCAAAGCATCGTTACAGGAGAAGCGACGATATCTGCCGTATTCCGAGCAGCCTCGAATGATGCTTTTGAAAAGTTCAAGATTTGTCATCATTAGAATCAAAAATAATCGCGACGTAATTAAGGTGAACCGTGATATAGCATACCAAAAGCATGGCAATTGAAATTTTTCTAAATTTACCTTATGTCAAACACTCAGAAGTTCCGCAAAGTTCAGCGCAGACTCTATACCACTCTTCCATAGAAGTATTGACTATCGGATGATCTTAATTCACTTGAGATCAACTGGTCGACCGCCGCGGTTGCTCAGTCTACAATCAAACAAGATTTATCTGCGAATTACTGACTTCAAAACGGCTTCATCCGACTTGTAGTAACTTCTACTCACTATTCCGGCATTATTCTTGAACTTGTATTTTCTTGTGGTCCTTCATTGAAACCACGATCAGGCCTTCTGTTTTTGTTGGATAGGGCATATCATCACATTTGACACTATATTTTATATTGGACACACAAACCGACAAGGGAATACAGTCAAGGTTTCACAACTCGATCTCATAGGCCCGCGGCCTATTTTTAATGATTGCGATCGTGTAAATGGGATGCGTATGAAATTTATTTAGTTTGTTTTTCACTGTCACCCCACGTTCGTGTGACAGACACGTAATCTTACATCGGATGCTATTGCATCATCTCTAGAGCGTTTTAGCATCTAAGCTCATGAAACTGTCTAACCGAATCTCATTTAGACTTCTTTTCAGTCTTTTCTTTCTAATATGAAAAGGCCATATGTCAGTGCCCATTTTCAGATCAACTCGCGTCGCTTTAGACAAAACTAACGTATTAGTTTTAAGTTCTGGTGATGGTTGGGACGATAGTGTTGATGATATTGTAAGTCTGCTTTGCATAAATCACGTGCTCGATTTTGGAGATCCGCCAAAAGTACTTGACGGAGACCTTTTTCACAGGGAAGTATTTTCAAAGTAAAGGGAAAGAGCGAGCCGAGGGAATGCACGTAGAAGTGACGTGTCTACTAGGCCGAGCGTGACTACCTTTCAGCTTGCGTAGTCATGTTCTAGGAGATTCCAGACGTAGAAGCTGTAAGACGCTTTAGGACAAGCCCCAAAATACTTGTCAACATACGGTATATTTCTATCACACGGGACCGAATTTTTTAAGCCATGGAAGAGGTTAATAGCCAAGTGTAATTACACTCAAGACAGAATGCCAGACATTTTCTATACTTATGCTCTCAAGTTAAGTTTTAATAATACCGAATAAGTCCTTAACCTTTCCTGCCAGAGCAATTATAGCAAACCAATTGTGTTGTACATGTTCTTTCCTGCGTGAATAGTAGTGCTTTGCAAATAAGGTTATATAATTCAATTCGATGATCCATTGTTGAATGATCAACTGTCGTTTTCGCCAGGGGTGCGGGCAGTTCCGGATGTTTTGGTCGCTGTAAGATCAGCCTGACGATCACGCTAAGCAGGCCTAGTAGGTGTGACTCGTGCCTAGCACTAGTTCATGCTATTCTACGAGTAAACATGTCACGTTTGAAAGCAAGGAGAGGTCAGAGGCGTGTCAGTTGGTAAATGCATGGGGAAACATGTTCTGGAAAGCATTTTTAGCATCTTGAAGAATGTTGCACTTAGGCTAAATAACCAAAATGAAATTCCACTGCAGCACACGCGAGGCCTGGCTGTAGGCTCATAATCGTCCAGCGACGTGCATGAAACCGTGTATCACTTTTACGTATAGTAAGAACCTCGTAGGATAAATAATTATATCAGTGGCAGATCTATAAAATCAAAAAAAAAAAACATACAGTACGGACAAATCGCTTAGTGCGTTAAATCACAAACGAGACTTTAAGGTCGTAATGCATAGCTTGACCCACTTCAGTGTTTTCACTTCAGGAAAAAATTGTACATTCTGATGGTGTCGCTGAGCCTGGTGACGATCCTTGAGGCTCCCCCAAATGTTGCCTTTTTCCCTGAGGTACTCGAACGATGCGAGTTGCTCATGCTTAATATTATCTGCGACGCCTTTTTCGCCATTGACATTTTTTTAAACTTTTCGACAGGTAAAAACAACATTAGGAAAAACGGCTAAGTTCGCGGCGAATGATAAAAGAAAAACAAACGGATTGCAATGTACGATATTTTTCTTAATAACACATCTTGCTGTGTGAATTGATGTATGCCTGTTACAGTTTGTTAATTAGTCGTGATTGATTTTGTTAAGTTCATAATCTTCTCTGGCATTTAATTGCTTTTGTTACAGGGTACCATGAAAAGGGTTGTGTGCTACGTCTAATCGAGATGAAATCGGGCAAGATCAGGAGGCGTATCTTAAAGGGTAGTTTGGAACCGACCTTATTTCTACGGTGCCATTTGATTATTCCGTACTTGTTTTTTCTTACAAACCGCTACATGTAAGTTCATTGAAATATAAGTTTTGCAACTTGTGAACAACGCAGGTAATTAGGCATTTAAACATTTCTGTGCTTCCGCGCATTAATTAAGTGCATCATAGATAGAAGGATGGGCCATCTGCGGATATTTTCACGTGCCAGCGCGTCAATAATTATAGTTAAGTTTGTACGTGTCAAACGTTTCTTATTAATAAACTATATATGCCTACCTCTCTTATATGAACCCTCAGGAGGGATTCGGCCATTTTTTTAATTATGATTATTATTGTGAGTGTTACCCTTGTTATTATCATATATATATCATATATATATATATATATATAGACTTATACCTGTGTTTAATGGGCCTTAGCAATCGCTTCTAATTAGTCACCAAAGTGGGCTAATTTCGATTTCAAGGGGTAGAGCATAGCCATATGCTTCACTTTTGCAGCCCTCGCTGTTCCACATCATGGTAAACTCATTCAGGTTGTCAAATTTTTGGCCCTGTTCCGAATATTTCGAATCTGTCATCTGTACCGGTATTTGCCACGCTGTCAGCAAGCGTTCTGCCCCTCTCATCACTGAAGGTACATTCGACTGGTCAATCTCGCCATCTGTATGGTTATCGTAGCTCACTGGAGGGGTTGTGTGCATTTTCTCGTTAATTACTGTTTCGGCTTTCCACAGATCTGTTGGATTTCTCTAAATGGGCCCGAGGCAAGAGGGAGCAAGGCTTTTGCAATTGAATAAATTCGACGAAAGACAGATCCTCAGATTCTTACTGTCGACTTTAGTAGCGTTGTCCACCAATTTCTATCTGCGTGGCTTTCTTGCCCTTTAACATACCTGCAAATGAATTGGCGATTGGAGATCACGCTTTAGTCGAACAGAAAACTTCACTGAGATTTAAATGTAGCGTTCTCTTTTAAGTTCAATGCCAAGTTTTGTCAATTGAAAATGCAGAAGTACCATATCATCATAGTGCGTTTTTAATTTGCTCGGTTCGCTCTTCAGCACTCCCCATGGTGAGAGCCGTGGTCGTGGTCGTTCTTTACCACAGTGTCGCTTAACTTCAAAATTTCATTTAGTCGAGGTACACCGGAAATCTTAATAGACCTGTCGTTCACTCTGTGGATAACGATTACTGGGACGTCTGGTTACGTCCTTATTCTTGCCAATATGTGACGAAACGTTGACGGACATCGAAAACTGTAGAAGAAGTGGGACGTTTTCCAGCGCTAATTCCGGCACTTATACTATCGTATATTACAATTGCAGTATTCGCCTTGCTACTATTTTGTACTGTAAATATATATATATATATATATAGAGTACATTCTGTACTTAGTATTGTATCTAAATGGTGTGCGAGTCTCGGCGCTGACTGGGCTTCATTCGTTCAGATGCAGGAGTTTGAGAACTACATTATCTTCAAGCGATTTCCCCATTTGCTGAGTCTCTAAATGCGCGACTACTTCGGGCAGCGTTATAGAAGACGCGTATTTAATTGAAACAATATTTTGTCGACCCTGAGCGATCCACTGAAGTGATGCGACATCACTGTGAGGAAACTATCCGATTTGTACCGTTTTTGGCTAAGGCCGAACCCAGATCTGTTAAAGAGCTAATTGCCCACTTGAAACTTGATTTCTTCCAGCCAGACGACGAAACAGTCAGTCTTAGGACAAAAAGTAATCTTTTGTCGCATGCGGAAACTTGGGCCGAAAATGATATTTCGAAAATATCAAAAACATCTTCGATACATAAAAAATAATAGCCCAGTTTTCATTGAGTGCACGTAGCGCGTTTCTTTTCAAACGGTGCTTCTTTTTCATCGACTGGGTGTGCTCGACATGTTTTTCATTCAATCTGGCAAGGTGATTGTGGCCAACAAAGATGGTCGCGTCATAGCCATCGTCGGTGCCAGGAGGTACTTTGGTGAGCTTAGCTCGCTTGTTGCTTGCAAGTCCGCCAAGACACATTGTAGTTTATGGGAACTCACCCACAAACGCTTCGAGCGGGTTTCTATTCTTCTGTATTATTGCCCTTGACCTTGACATACATCGTGTGTCGCTGTTGCCTCCTCTTTCCGGAATCACTCGAGCTAAATACGAGCTTTATTATGATGACTTGTTTACTGGCAATGCTGTTAGGGGCTTTCACGATTGCTCGTATTTGCCATTCTCAGCCGCTTTTTGTCTTGTAATGTTCGAAGTAAACCAAAATATTCCTATGAGTGACGGTGTTAACTGCTGAAGTGTATAGCAGATGTTGCAACTATGCTGTTTGCGGGCTTCGTTCGATGGACGAATCGGCGGAGGTAAAGCACTTCGAATTGGTTTCTCTTTTTTTGTACGCTTCCATTGGCTGCATCGCATTTGTTCTTGTGTGCTCGAACAGGGATAGCGCGTTTCGCCTCCATTGCAAAAATGCTCTGATATTAAACGCGTAAATGGAAACTGGCTTATTTTTTTTATAGATAAATTCACTGTTATTAATAAATGTCATACACCCTGAGTTGTTTGAGGCGCTAACGTGTTAACCATATACGAGCGCATCGTCGTCTATACACGACTCTATATTTAGAATTCACTAAAATATTAGGGAAATATAGATAATAATTTTCACTATTTACTAGAAAAACCAATAGCTTCCGGGCGTATACTCATCATGGAGAGACTCTGTTGAACTTTTATTACAAATATAATTAATTAGACAAATAATCAACAGGGTGAAACTGGTGTTTTTTTTTTAAAGAAGTTTCCCGTGAAAGAAGTGGAGATAAAAGCCCTGACAACGGATCCTCGAGATCGAAATTTTTTGTCGAACATAACGGTTAGGGCGGTTGAGATTTCCACCAACTTCAAGGATCCGGCCAGTCAAAGACCGAGAGCCACAATAACCATCTAGCTGCTCTAAAGATATTGTGCATATAATAAGTTACCGAAATACTGTTACTACACTGAACGAAAAACCACATTTGGAATCGATTAAGGTCTTAGATTTTATTGAAAACCTGATGATCGATGTTGTCGCTAGTAATCCAGTGCTTGGGACAGATATTTGAATATCCCCATAATGGTGCGGTTGCAATGTGTTTGACTATTAACTTTTTGAGATACAAGTTGAGGGGTTTGGGTCTAAGACCGGGCGCTTATCAACGTGTTTTGTTTTACGCTGGGAGCAACCAGTCGGATGCAGGCAAAGTTTAGAGAAGGCAGAATAACAAAACGCTGTAAAACTTAAAACATTTGTGAGTAACTTTTTGAGTGGGAAGATAGTACGTAGAGGGAAATGAGAAAAGGCAATATTTAAAGCTAGGAAAAAGAACGGTGTCTTATCTCATAAGTCTCTTGATATTTCTAGGACATATCGATCATTTACTTCGCAATTAGTCAACTTTCCTCCAGCTTTTCTCATTTTTTGGCTATTCGCAGGATTTATGCCTTTGTTTAACCTAGTTATCCATTGTCCTTTGGAAAAGTCAATGTATTGACAGTCGTTAATTTCTTTGACTGACTATTAAAAGTCGACGGTCCTTTTAGTTCGATTATGTGAGTAAATAAATAGCAGCTTGTGTAGTTGATTCCCTGTTGCCGAGATTTAATAAAGCCTTCGCTGACCGCGGTATTTATCAGCTTCCAAACACACCGTTAAAATCGCACGAAGTCAATCCATATTTGGGTATGTTGTATATAATTTCTTTTTATATAGTATAATTAAATAATGAGCCATATTCAACGCGTCCGCTGGCTCACTAATCTGTGAACTGCGTGATGGTAGATGTCTCGAAAAAACAATTTCGTTGTCCGAACACCTTGTGCTCCTGCTATTTGATGGCCGGTTTATTGTTATAATCACCCGTGTTAAATTCTTGCAAAATTTCGTTTGTTTTCATTGTGAATATACCGTTCCGACAGGTGATTATGGTGACCTTACGCTGACGGATTGGGCTACGTACGTAATGTCGATCTGTCGCCTGCCTTATTATCTCGGGAACTTTTTGGTCTAACAACACTGCGTTCCTAATAAAGGCCATTTGCATATGGCCATTCGGTCGAGCCACTGAATTCAGATTTCACTTTTTAGTTTGTCCTCTCGCGTTCGTCGGCTGTTCGTCACTATTCAGTCGAGGCAACGACAGTCGCAGCGAATAAGTTCATTCATACATTTAATTGTAACGTCGTGTACAGCGATGAGCCTTCTTTGTCAGAAGCACAGTGACGAACAGGCGGTACACGCAGCCTCCTATATAGTGCATGCTGTCGTCTGGTTTGTAAGGCCTTCATTTGAACGCTGCACACGTCACATACGCTCTTCCGTTTGCCCGTCAAGTCCCTCGTCCCTGCTCTTTTGCTGTCTCTATTATCGTTGTATCGTTATTGCTGATGTCGGCGGTGGTGGCTCTACGGCTCTAATCCGCCCCATAGTATAATGCAACAGCATACCATTGTATGTAGCACTGCCTAACCACGAACTTAGCTGGTAGCATGTCACAAGGACGTTCTCGGTCTTGCAATGCCTCGTTGCAATCCTGCAGATGTTTAGACACTTTAGCTCTCTGAGAGTCTGGACAGTAACCCCTATTGTAAAAGAAGACAAATCTATGCATACGCTGCTACCGAAGGCTGGTCCGTCTTTAATCGCTGCATATACTTTCAAGGTTTTTCCCATATAGCATAATAAGATAGCACGGCACAGGTAGCAATGTGTACTAAGGCGATAATCAAATAATGTTGGACTTTTACTGCTTAATTACGTATATGCGCCATGTGTGTTTACCTCTGTTATACGAATTTTATATACAGAAGTTTAATCGTTTTGTATTCAAAAGAAACGCATCTCTCTTAATTATTACTGTCAAAACGTTTGAAATTCTTGACAAGGACATACATATACAAGCAAGCGCCATCTCTAGAAATACGACGGCGCTTAACTTTTATGGAACAACCGGATTTCCTGTCTTTATATTGGTAATTTAGTTTACTTGGCTATTTTTTTACACTCTACGTGGCTTATCTGTCTAGGAGGAACCGTTGAATCTGAAATCATTGCCGGTCTTGCAGTGTTACGAAGTCGACACGCACAACGTCGGTTGCTGGATTCAATATTAAGCCGTTGTTGCTTTTGCGGTT